TACCAATGGATTATATGCTCCCGCTGGAGCATGACACGTATAATTTTAACAAAAACAGACACGTGCATAGCATGTTCTAATTGGCCAACCTAAATTAATAGATGATTGCTACTGAAATTGGCCAAACTAATATAATAATAGAAAAAAATTATATAAGGTTGCAGAAAAAAATTATATAAGGTTGCAAGCTTAAAGTGCACCTCAAAAATTCATCGGAAAATGACGTTTTAATGTTGAAAAATCTGCTAATCATCTCTACATCGGGATGCATGAATATGAAAAAAAAATAGATTTCGAGTCCTCAAAATTGTGAATCTTGCAACACATTATCTAGACCGGCCATTTTCTAAATTTTCTTATATTTATAGATCTAAATTTACTTGTTATGATAAAATTTCGATGTGCATCTTAATTTGATTGTTAAAGATTACAACTTTATACAAACCACACTTATAGATACTAATCATTATAACCTTATTCAAAATTAGTGCGTATTTTAGGTAGAAGATGTGACATATTGTATGTTTTATTTTCGAGAAAGCTTCCTCCTACAACATAGAAGTTCTATCTTCTCTTTATCCAACCATCCATTTTTTAATGGAGGGTTAAGATTGCCCCAATCACAATCTCACGTCTCTACACTGTTTTATTTTAAATTTTTTTCTATAAAATTTTTTAATACCAAATTTTGTACGTCCATTCCTCTATTAAACTTGCACTAACAAAAAATATAAAAAATATATTTTCAATCAAATAAAATGACCAAAATACCTTTGAAAGTTTCAAGAGGTATTTTGGTCATTATTTTTTATCCAAAAAATATTGTTAATATTTTTTATTGGTGCGCCCTAATAAGAAGATGGCACGTACCAACTTTCATATTCATAAAAATTGTATTAAAAAAACTAAAAATAAAATACTTTAAGACGTCAATTCTAAGATCAAATGGCGAGTGGCTCTCTTGATAAAAAATGGACGGCTGGATATAGAACTTCTATATTGTAGGAGGAACATATAAAGCTTTCCCTCTTTTTTTTTGGGTAAATATATATTGTATGTTTTATATCTTACATAGAATAACTGCATTTCGATTAATTGGATATCCATACGTTTTATTCCTTTCTATGTTTAGATTTTGGCGATATTGTGAAGTTAGTTTTTAGGTATACTTTTGTGCATTACCTCTCAACGTCCGCTACCACATTTAAGTGAAGATAATTTGGTCAAAGTTTCCTACTTTTTTATTAATGATTTCAAGCAATTGTCCAATGATCTTTTCTTTACATTAAAAACAAGAAAAGAAAAAGGATTTCAAACAAACATATTGCATTTATTATGGTATCGGTCTGTTTTCGTATCAATCTTATGATCAAAGATTTGGATTAAGATTCCCATTTCTTTATCCAATTGGATAAAATAATTAGTTGGTCTTGGGGTCTTGGTGGTAGTACTACTTGTACCTCAACTAATGCCTATATTTCTATTCTTACCCAATACCTTCAAAAACCACTAACGATTTAAAAAAAGGATAAGGACTCGTCATTCCAAAATTACCAAAAAAAAAAAAAAAAAGAAGTTGATTTAAAAGGAAATTTTTTTAAAAAATGCATTTTAACTCTTGAAACCCCATATCTATTGGCCCTTTAGTGGAGGGTTCAAAGACGGTCATGGAGAGGGAATAGATTTGGAGCACCAAATCAATAATTTTTGCCAAAATATGTCCTACTCCCTGGGGAGTATACTGTTCATTTACTCCTCAAGTAAAATCCCACCAAAGATTAAGCACCCTTTAAGCATTTGAAAAAAAATAATGTATCAAGCTTAAATAGAAACCGTCCAATTTTTAGAAAACTCAAATTTCACATTTTTTTTCTTTTGAGAATAATCATTTAGTTCTTAAGTGGTTTCCAAAATTTCACATTGAAAAAATCCTTCCAAGTATGTCTTTGGACCGAGGGAGTGGAATACATGTTCAATTTTTTTTTCATGGAATCAATATCAAGGTTGACTAAAGATGATCTTAAAGATTTTAGACTAAAAAAAAAAAGGTACCCTAACTATGTTTTTTGGGAGCTAGACCACCAAAGTACATGGTTGGAGCTAGACCACCTAATATGTGGCTTGCTTAGAATGGATAGAACATTAAGTGGAAGGCCCCTGATATGGCAATCTTGGTTGTGGGTTCCAATTTCCAACCAGCTTACCAACGGCCACAACCCCCTCCCCTTCAAAAAAAAAAAAGGAGGGTTATTTTTCTATAGGATAGTTGTAGTCATGCACAAGACAAAAAGGATCATAATAAAGGTCCCACCTTCTACTTCCTTTTAGTCTTCTTCCTCCACTCTGTTCCCTTCTAGCTCCTACTACCAGTAAAAGCAAAAATAAAAGTGCCTAAATCAACTAATAAAGACTAGCATGAAGACGATCATGCTTGGAGACCATTAAAAAAGACAAACCTTTTGGCAAACTATATTTTCTACTTTTGAGGGCCATACTTATATTCAAGCCCCAAATAGTTACATTTTTTTCAAAGGGCTTCTAGCCCATTTCATAAAACCATTCTAATAAAACCTAGACAACCAACCACTTTCATCTACCCTAAACCCTTCAAAACTACCCTAAACCAAACTATCCTAAATGAATTTAGACGGTGTAGAAATTTTTCTTAAAAAAATCACATTTAAATATCAATTTGTTTTTGTTTTTTCTCTTTTCATATTTGTAATCATCTTAACCTAGATCATGAATATCTAAAATTTTGGATTAAATATCCATTTCTATGATAGGTTTAAGTGGGGTGTATTAGAGAGAGAGAGTTGCCAGTGGAATTTGACAACTTAGTGGTTGGATCCAAAATTAAGATTTGTCTTGTGTTAGGGATGTTATTTTAGCATTAGATTTTCTCAAGTAGAAAGGTCTGAAATAATATCAAGGGCCAGAGAGTTTGTCTTCTCCGAAAATTCTTCTTTAAAAAGCTTTTCAATACAAGAACTTTCCTTAAAGATAAAAAAAGAAAAAGAAAAAAAGAAACTTCCTTTTGTTAATGGAAACAACGTAGTTGCAAAATGTTTATTTTTCTTGTTTTAACACAGACAAAAGGTGAACATCAATTATTGCAAGGATTTTTCAAATAAACTGACATAAAAAATTAATGGCTGTGATTTGTATAAGGTTGCAACCTTAAACAATCCAATTAAGGCATACCTTCAAATTTTATCATAACATGTAAATTTGGTATAAGAAATTCTTAGAACTATCTGAAAATCTATTTTCATCTCTAATTACAAAATTTTAACCTCAAAAAATGGTTAAAATCAAGTAGATCTATAAATATATAAAAATCTTGGAAATGGACAGTCTAGATAATGTGTTGCAAGATGCACTATTTTTTGGACTCTAAATCTTTTTTTTCTTTTCTTTTCATATTCATACATCTCAATGTTGGAATGATCAATTAGAGGGTTTTTCAACATCAAGACAACATTTTCAGATGGATTTTTGAGGTGCATCTTTAATTCTAGATTTTAATATTGCAACCGTCTATAAACTTTTTCCAAAATTAAGTTGCTCTTTTTGTTTTTCAACTACACATACTCTAAGTGGTATTTTTTTTTTTCTAGAAGTAGTACTGTAAATACCTCATTTTAAGTTCAAATTACTCTAAAACTTGAGATCCAGGATTTATGGAATGCGTCTAAGTGGATGGAAGTTTGTTATGGATGAATTCAACTGAATTTAAAATTATCAAAGGCTACTTAATTCTAGAAAATTGAAAGGAATTGGATAGGAAATAGTCACAGTATTTAGATTAGCATAAGAAACCAAACCATTATGGTGAAGGATGGGTCAAATTTTAGGGAATTAATCTCAAAAAAATTAGTGAAACAAATCTTAATTGGAATTAAAAACACCATAAGAGATTAATGTTGGACTTTGTTTGAACTTGTTGACGCATAACATATTGATGCCAATGCACATTATATATCACATCGGGGTATGATTAAGGAAATGTATATAATAAGACCATTTATTTTTTAATCAAGACATAAACATTATTGGCCATAGGATATGAGAGCGGGTGGTTGGTGTTGTGTCATTGATTAGGTACAAAAACCTAAATAGAATTTTTCAAAAGTTGTGATGCATTTTCATATGGTGAATTTCACATTTAATTGCTAAGAGTAATTGTGATTTTCTTATATCAAAAGTGAAAAGACTTATAATATACATTTCTATAATTTCATGGTGCACACTTCTCCAAATTTTTTTGGGTTGTAGAACTAGGGTCCCCAAGCATTATATGCATAAAAATTGGACTTTTATTTTATAAAAACCCCTTCTCTCTCGTTGCATTCCATAAATTATGCAATGCAAGTTCAAATTTTTAAGTGGATTTTTAAGGTGATGGACACATGGATCAATCCAGGAACCCCAACTCTTGGTGCCGGGCTTATCAGATTCGGATATGCAAGTTTTTTATTTTATTTTTAAATTTTTTCTATTTGTTTCTACTTTCGTGCTTTTATTTGTTTTTTAGACCTAGATTTGCTTTGTTTCACGAGCGCAATTTAACCCGAACTTAGGAAAAGAGGTTCTAAAATATCTCATATGCAAAATATAATTTGCTGCACCGTGATTTTCAACATTTCTAATTCTAAAGCATATATTTAATTTGCATTTCAGAATTTCCTTATGATGTTTGAGTATAAGTAACTATGCGTATCTTCTCATACGTTACAAATATTCATATTAGTAAGGAAGAATAAGTAGGAGATTTTGAATTTCTCGCACGTTTGGTTCGTATGAAAATGATTTCTTAAAAATTATTATCTTAGAAAATAACTAATTTCTCACGTTTGGTTTGCCACAAGAGTAAAATAAAATCTTTTTACCTGTGAAATTAATTTCCATAAAAAATTTCTAAAATCTAAGAAATTGGAATCATATATGAATCCAATTTCTTTCAAAATAATTGGGTGCGGGGGTAAGTAGGGCTGCCATCGGGCAGGGCTAGCCCAAGGCTCGGCAAAGCTCAAAAATACCTTGGCCCGCCCCGGTAAGTCCTGGGCCAAAAAGTGTACCGAAAATCTCACCCCATCCCCGAATATGTACTATCAAAAATGTAAGAGTATATGTACTTCAGTACCAAACATCAAAAAACGAAGGAAATATGATGAAAGATTAGTAGGAAACGGTATTGAGGGGATCACATGATCACTTTTGAGTTTGCTCCACCTTGGCTCTTATCACTGCCGTCGCATCTCAAGTGCCACATGGGAACATGCAGAAGCTTATTCACAATGCCCCTTATCAACCACCAGCAACTGTTGATAATCCCTGTTGAATATTGTAGTGTTGGAACACCTAGAAGCATGAAATAATTTATTGGTGATCACACATCCTGATCACCAATAAATTCCATGTGATAGGGATAAATTCTGATGAGGAAATCACACCCAACTATGTGAAATAGCATTTTATTAGGCCTTTATTTCAATATTGGATAAGGATTAATTTCACATTGGTTATGCAAAAGACTAGTAGTGGAATTTCATGTTTCAAAAAATAATACAACGGAAAACCAAATTCAAGTAGAAACAGACCTTCAAATTGATCTCTGATCTGTTCTGCTTTTAAAAGATACAAAATTGCAAAAAAATCATGCAACTAAATCTGTTATGATGACCTTTCATCCTGACAAGGACAAGGACAAAAAGGAAGCCTTTCAAGGCTCAAACTGTGATGGATAACTTCACCATCCATGGTAAATATTGACAACCCATCTAAGGTAAAAACCCAAGAACCAAAACCCAGAAATAATATTGGGAAATAGAAATTTTTCAAGGGTAGAAAGAAGACAGAGATATACCCATAAAAGATGCTAGAGAGAGAGAGATATATATCATAAATAGAGATAGAGAGAGAGAGAGAGAAAGGCTTCTATTGATGTTCCCTTATGCACTGCAGAAGATGTTGCAGAATTAAGAGACCATGTCAGATGCCCCAAAGGAAAAAGAAAAAGAAAAGGCATATTTCAGTGAACATGGCTCTTCCATGCATCAGAGGTATTCCTTATAAAAAGTAGATTGGGAGTTGTCAAGATAAGGTACTCCATGCATCAGAGGATTCAATTATAGGAATCTCATGTTGTCGTGCTAACGATTGAGTACGATCATTATATTGGCAGTAAGTCAGTAAGATAGCGGCCAGCTTTCATGTAAACCAGAAAAAATTCTGCATTTTCCATTGTTTCTTTGTGTAGTTGTTAAACCAGAAAAAATATTCTTTTATCTTCTTAATTTGATTCAGTGGAAGAATGAAGTCAAGTGCTGGTTTCTTATGGGTACAGACACAGTCTTACAGAGATAGTTGAGTCCACTGTTTCATTCTTGCATATTTTCAGTAAATTATGTTTAAAATTAAAAGTATTTCTGCTCAGTTATATTTACAGGTGGTACCTGGATAACAGGGAAGACTCTCTAGTCTCTAGTACTAATAAAATGTCATATTTTGGATGATCATGCGTATTTTAGAGGTGAGGCATGTTAAGCATAAAAGCACCAAGACACAAGGAAAATGTGCAAATTCATCTTCAAGCACTTGATAAAGTGAGCATAAAAGAGCTCTAGAAATGTGTCACATTTGAACAAAACAATTCTTGGGACTCCTAAGACATGAGAGAGAGAGAGAGAGAGAGAGAGAGAGAGAGAGAGAGAGAGAGAGAGTGAGGGATACCTTGGCCCCAAATCTAATATTAAACTATAGACAATGTGCAAATTCATCTTCTAGCACTTAAGAAAGTTGGCATAAAAGCACCACAGAAATGTGCTGTAATTGATATTACAAGTATCCCAAATTCAATGATAAGATTCAGCTATTTTCTATTATGACTATGCAAAATCAGAATCATAATCCCTATCTCATAGGCCAAGCCACATTTAAAACTTGTACAGGAGATTTATACCTTGTGCAGAAGGATCCAATGATCCATTTCTGAGTTTCTATTTGCTGAACTCCTGTAATTCATAACGAAGAGCCAGAAGCAACCAAGTGACTTCGACATCTCGGAGCCCTTGCTTTCAGTTCAACTGACCCAAACATTGAATCTGGGATATCAAAAAAGAAGAAATCAAACCAAAAAGAAAAACGAGCAAAACTACGAATCACTCATAGAGTGGGGATTAATGAAATCATCCCTTTGCTCAATCCACAATCAACAATAGAAAAATCCAAGAAGAAGTACAAAAACACTTAAGAGAAAAAATAAATGAAGGCCAAAAAAGGGAAGGAAAAGTGGGATATTTCTTACCCTACCTCACTGTGACAAGCTAGGCCCCCGAACAAAGAATCCCCTGTTGCTTAGAAACAAACAATCTGTCCACTGAGCATTACTATCAAAACATAGCTTAGAAGTATCCCAAATATTACGATCACATAAAAGATATGATATTCAGGTAAATTTCAGCCGATTATTCATCAGCAGCACCATATTCAACTCTAGCAATGAAGCCAATATTCGCTTTTGACTACATGAGGAAAGAAGGTTGGCACCAAGGATGACATGATAACTGATGGTGGAGGCCCAAAGATGGATGATATTATTTCACATAGATGTCTTCTTAGCAGGTTGCATTGTCTTTGCTTTTGTGGCCTCATATTTCCTTGCATAATTGTATCCTCTATGCCTGGAAAGCAGCGACTGTTTCAGTAAACTATACTTATACCATAAATTGTCAGTTACAGCCTCTAGTTCCTCTCCTAAATTAGGGCCTTCTTGAATGTGTGATCTCATGGTTTTAGTATAATCCGATATCTAGGGTGGATAATCCAGGAGAATAGAGAGATTGAGGAAGATGTTGCACATAGAGCTAGAGCTGGATGGGCTAAGTGGAGATGTGCATCTGGAGTTTTATGTGATGCTGCATACCATTAAAACTGAAGAGGCAGTTCTATAGGATGGCTATAAGACTAGTCATGCATTTATGGGACAGAATGTTGGGCGATCAAGAAACAACATATGTATAAGATAAGAGTAGTTGCAATGAGGACGTTGAGATGGATGAGTAGCAAGACAAAAAATGATAGAATTTGGCATAAATACATAGAAGGGAACTTAAGTGTAGCTTCAATAGGTGATAAGATGTGGGAAAGTAGACTTGGATGGGCTGGTCATGTGCAACATAGACCTAACACAACACCAGCTAGGAGATATGATTTAGTTCAAGTGAAAGGTTCTAACAAGACGAGGGGTAGGAAAGGACATGGATAGAAGTAATGAGAAAAGATATGGTGAATTTTGGTCATATAGATGGTATGGCCATTAATAGAAAAGAATGGAGGAACATAATTCATGCAGCCCATAAGGTTTGGATGATGATGATGATGATGATTGAAGCTTAAACTTTAAGACCGAATAGGTGCCAAGGACTTATCTAACCAGTGGAAAGAATAATTTTTCTCCTTGTGAGGCTAATGGAGCTTAAGTTTCCTGTCATCAAGGATCTCACATGGCTTATGTGCATGAAACAAGGTGCAAAAAATTGCATGTAATGTTCGATTTATAAACTCGTGAGATGAAGCAATCCAGGGAGTGCCATTAACATGTAGAGAGTTAAAGCAGGTTCAGAATTGCTCAGGCATAATTTACCATACAGCGCCAAAAATATCAGCACTCTATAACCATCCAGTAATCCTAGAGACTTTAAGCATAGAACCAATAGAACAGAGACTGACAAGAGAGAAGGTCCATTACATTTAGGTCTAGATGGAGGTTAGGACATCAAAGGGAAAGTACTAGGCATAGTCACACGAATCCAGAGCAATAGTAAAGCAGGGAGCTGCAAATATCAAGAGCACAGAAGCCCAAAACAAAATAGTTGCATCTAAAGTCAATGCAGACAATATAAAGGCCCCCAAAGGAGGGTTGTTCAACAGTCATAAGATGTTCAACAGTAGTAACATCACTTTTTCATGTACCAGTACTCTCCGCCAGCAGTATTTGGTGGGACATAAAATACGATGAAAAAGCACCCATGAAATCTTAGGAATAAAAGTTAACATCCAAAACTGATGAGTTACACGTAATATATTAATGTTCTGTAATGTAAAAGTATTGCATGTATATCACCTCAGGAATAGAATGATGTATATACAAAAGAGCGTGTATACTATGTGCCCATGGGAGCATAGTATATGTTTACTCCCTTGGGCAAGGCAAAAGACACTACGGAGGATTTTTTTATCTCGAATTTTGGGTACCACCTAAGAATCACTATATCATTATTTTCAAAATAAATTTGGTTTTTGAGTTACCTAACACGTAGGTCTTAGTCTTACCCTCTAATAATTGGATGGTCTCAGTTCAATCTTGGGACACTATTTTTTCAAGCACATAGAGATTGTGATTTGAAAACTTTTAATTTATTGAGGTCAGTCCATGGTTCAAACAGGTTATATCCCCAAATTTGGAGTCCTAAAAATACTCCTAGATAGTGTTTTACCCGAGCGAGTAAATTCACAATGTTATTCCACGAGGGCACGAAATCTTTGGGCTTCACAAAATACAAATAAATATAAATAGATAATGAGTCCATATTGCATTTTCCATACTCGAACAAAGGAATACTTATTCATTTTTCATCATGAAGATTTCAAAATGTAATCATCAAGTTGCACAAAGAAGTGAGCTAAACAGAGATTTCCTTAAAATAGATTAATACTTAATATTTTTAGAATCATCTTTTTAAATTCAAAGACTTCTTTTGATTCAAAGCTCACTGGATTGAGTCAAGACTTAGTGAGCCAAATCAACTCCTGGCTAGGCCTTTTTTCTACTTTGGTGATAGGTTAGCTAAAGCCAAGTATAAGCATTTGAAGGAAGCATCCTTTCCAATCCTTTCTGGAACTAAAAAGGACGTATATTGGGATGCTCTAGTTGGATCAAATGAGGGTAGCTAGAGGTCTCTAGTTAGAAGTTGTAGTACTTCCTCATAAACAAGTATGGAACCTCAGGCAAGCATTCAAAACCACTTCAGCTTTCTTATCAGCAATGAACATTGCACTAGTGGAAGTCTCCCCACTATGCAGTGGAGGCCTCAAATGCAAATCAAGTCACAAACAAATAGATGAATTATACAAAAATAGGAAATCCAAAAGAAATGTCAGACTATGTCGGGAGTTCAGGGGGAGCAATTCACAAGCAAATGTACAACATCTTTCTATATCCCACTTGTTGCATAGTTTTAGAAAGGAGGGCTAAGGAGGAAAGCAATAAAAAGATCAAAAATGTATTTGTAAAAGACTGGGTACTGGAGGTATGAAGAGGAACCGTGAATTCTTGGAAGCTCCTTGGGGTTGGGATCGTCGTCCGTAAGATCCTATATCAAGGGAGAGCGATCCTTGTCACAGGATAGCGTGATTCCATGAGGAAGGAATCACAATAGTATGTTTGAAGGGATCAAGAATGATGCATGAGTTCACAATACCTGAATCAATGCCGAATAGAGAAAACTTCATATGCACTGCGTTCAACACGGGAGAACCATGGTTAAAACCTGCTGGGAACGAGGATCACAATATAGGGATTTGCGTTCCACCCAAGATCCCTAGCCAGAATTGCGGGATCAAGGTTCTGCAGTGGATACGTGACCTTTCCTACAAGGTTCCAGCAACTATGGCTCCAATAGTATTCAAAAGGGAAGTATGTAGGGAAAATTACGTTCGCACCATTTTATTTGACTGTTATTCACACGAAAGTCCATGCCTCCCGATTTTTTTCTAGGTTTGTCCCCAGTCCAATGTTCTAAAAATTGGACCTCATGCTAAATTTTTTTTAATCATATGATATTTATAGATCAATTCAATGTCAAAAACATCAATTGCTAATTTTGTAGGGTGGCCTGATGTTACAAACATCGGACTAAACTACACTTTTTATTGGGTCCAATGTCCGAAACATAGGGCTGCCTTTAAACTTACAAAAAATGAGGTCTAAATGCGATCGGACCGCATTTTTAGGAACATGATATATGTGCCTCATTGATGTAAATGCATTAGTACTAGTAACATGGTTCCCTTCCATGCACCAATTAAGATTGTTCATGTATTAGTTAGTAACATGGTTCCCATAACACGCACCAATTAACATTTCACAAATTAATACGTACTCAAAATGTGGACTAACTTTAGAAACATCGGACCACAAACCTCAAGGCTATCTAATGTTTCGAATAACGGACCGACTGAAAAGTGTAGGACAATTGCGGTTCAATTGTATTGACATTGAACCGACCTATGAATATTATAAAAGACCGTAAGGGCCGTGACCCTATCATGGTCCCGCTTGCGCAGGGTCCCGGGAGGGGTAGACTAGATACAGTCCTAACCTTTGGCATTTTTGGCACACAGTGGCCGCTCTCAGAGTTTGAACCCGTATTTTCACGCTGGCAGCCCGAGCCTTTT